ATAAATAATAATAATAATAATAATAATAATAATAATAATAATAATAATTTTTTTTTAAAAGGATAATTAAATAAATAATTAATTAACGTGTGACAAAAATTCAATTCAATAAAAAAAAATTTTTTACAAAATCAGGAAATTAACAAATTGGCAAATTAAAAGTTATTAAAATAAATAAATTATTGTTATTATGTTAATAAAAAATTTTATTTAATCAATAAAAATATTAATAAACAATTCAATAAAATATTATTTAAAGTTAATTTTTGTTAATAATTTTTATTATGACACATAATCATGTCATGAAGTCGTGTTCAAAAAAAGAAATTATCCTCATTATTATTATTATCGTTATTATTATTATCTAAATCATTTCGATCGGCATTTTTTTTTTTTTTTATTAGGGAAAAAAAAAAAAGAGTTAAAATAAAATAAGCCCACGATCACGTTTTTAATGATGAGTAAAAAAAAAAAAAAAAAAAAATAATTATTTAAGTCAAAGGCTTTAAATCTGATCAAAGTTCCAATAATTTGTTTACTTTCTATTTTCTAACATTGACCGAGTAAACTTTCCAGGCCATTGATTTCCCCAAAAAGGGGCCGCCGCACCCCCCCTTTTCACAACAACAAAAAACCCCCCTTAATTTAAATTTAAATTTAAATTTTTTGGGTTTTCAGGTACTTAATTTACCACAGTTTACCCTTTCTTAAAAAATTATTATTATTATTATTATTTAAAAAATTCCCGTTTTCATATCATGATTGACAAGGACGGTTTCAAACGGTTGCATGGATTTGTTCAAATTAAAACTAAAACTAAAAAAAATTTCATTTTTGTAACATTATACTTGTTGATGACTAAATATTTGTTGTATTGAATTTTTATTACGCTTTGCAAATATTTATGAACATAAAAAAAAAAAAAAATGGAGGAAAATGAAAAAAAAAAAAAAAACAACAAAATACCATTTTCATGTTACCAAACATAATTTTTTTAATTTATTGATTTCAAACATGAAACCGAGTGTGTTGTAATTAGTAATACTTAAGGTAAAAAAAAAAAAAAAATACAATCAATTGTAAAAATTTTTGTTTAAAATGGTAACAAATAGAATATGGATACTTAAAAAAAAATTTTTAAGGTGGTGATGGTAGAAATTATCACACAGACGGTGTTTTCTTATTATTATTATTTCTATTCTCAGAATTTATCATCATTTTGCCTATAATTGTGAGTAATAAAAATAATTTTTTTATTTTCTAAAAATAGCAAACGAACACCACCACCACCACCACCACCTAATTATAAAAAGTTTTTTTTTTTTTTTTTGTAAACCAATCACGAAACTAAAGAAAAATGATTCATGATAAGTTGTTTTGAACTTTGACATGGTGAGAATGTGTGATATCTTGTTAGTCTAAATCTCCTTCGGGTCTCTTGCACCAAAAACCAACTCTAACATGTTATTTATAATAATAATAATAAAATTCGTTATGATTAACATAATTATATTATTTAAAAATATTTTTGTTTTTTTTTGTTTTTTAGATGTACTTGATTCCTTTGGTGGCCACAGGTTTAATATTTTTTATATGTGTGAGTAATAATGGATTGGAGCAAGCAAGCGCACAATATTATTCAGGAGGAATCAATACAAGAGAAATGAGAATGTGTG